TAGCTTGAATGTAAACATTTTCATGAATTCGTTGTATTCTCATGTGTAAAATAGCCAACAAATTAATAGTTGTAGGCTAACCCGATCTCATGAAAGTGCGTATAGCAGATTTTCTGCTTCTATTTGGCGTAATATTTATATGTAGAAATTGACTTTGGCATGCAAAAGACTGATAAATTCGTAATTAATGGCATGTTCAGTCGACAGAAGTACGGGACACATATGATAACCGCTGAAATGTTTGCGGGGCCAATCTCAGGTCATGATACACACAGTGCGTTCAGCCGTACACCTGCAGGAGCCACTGACTGTAAGTGTGATGTTTCTTTTACTTAACAGTTCAGTGAACAGGGAGTTGTTTGGACACAGTGTATAGTTGCATTGTGTATTTTTGCTCCGTCAATGAAATAGTTCCACCAAAGCAGGATAAACCGCTGCGACTCCGAGCAACACAGTGTTTCATTCCTTGTCGAAGGAATCGGTTGAGTGAATGATTTAGTAAGTAGACTTATAATTGCGCTGCAGCTGTAGTTTTACCCTGTGTCTGAAATTGGCCTCTATACCCTTATATAAGGCACTACTTTAGGGGACAGCCATTTTTAGTGGTGTCCGGAACCTTATTTAGTGGACATTTACGAGTGCACTCATTCAATCCCACAATGCTCAGCAATAACGAGCGTCTAACTGATGTATGCTCAACGCCTAGAGAATACCCATAATGCACTGTGAGAGTCGTGCGGCGAATGAATGATTGGCGCCTGCAGCTGATACAATACAGGGATAAATTCATTGTAAATTGCAATTATTAAAGTGTTTAATTTGGGTTTATACATAATTTCCACGACATAGTTAAAGATAAATCCTTCTTCTGGAGCTGCCAGTTTGCCAATTTCAAATGATTAATAAAAAGCAAGCACAAACTTTGCAAAAGAGGCAGTCCTTCCGGTGCACTGAGTTAAAAACACAAATTGTTTTATAGCAGCTGAAAAGTACAATTAAAAATGACACTCAATCAAATTAAGTTAAAAACCCTGTTTCATTTAGCGATTTAACCTTCATTTATTTTATTTAAAGCATGTATCTGTAAGCGTTTACTACCAGTGTCTGTATTTTTACATATATAAGTTAACACTGTATTACTGCTCCGGGTGTGTGTTCACTGCTGTGTGTGTG